TTATCCTTGTTTCCAAACCATAGTCCATAGCATTGCTCAAGCAGTTTTTCAAAATACCAACCTGATTGTTTCTTGTTTAAAACTCACCACAAGCTTCCCTTTTCTCTTTGGATAAACTCCAGTCTCCTTGACAAGGCATAAAAAGCTGCCCATAATCTTTTCTTTTATCTTTTCCTTCCTACCCACGGTAAGTTTCATAGATATTAGTCTACCTGAAATCCCCAGAACGTACTTCAGGTTGTGTCTCTATGCTGTTTCTCAGTTTCTCCCAATCCTGGCTGCCTTGTCCCCCAACTCATGGCCACCTCCCATCAGTTTGTTAGTGAGGAGACCAGTGGGCAGCTCATGGTGAAATGATTAAGTACACCATCATGTTGATCTAATTTTTCTTTTCTGGTGAGGCCTTCCAGTAAAAGACAGTGAGAGTCTCTTATTTTCCCCCAAAATACCGTAGCATATCTTCCTTTATTATTGTCTTAGAACCTTGTTTATAGGCCTTATAGCCAAGAAACTCGTTACCAAATATATATATTCTTTCCACAGCTGTCAATTTTAGGTTGACTCTAAATCCCAGGCTGATCAGATTTTATTTCTCTCCTCCAGATATGAGCATCTTACAAAATTTCCAATAGACAAATATAGGGGCAATGCAGAGTTGGTTGGGAGGAAGTGAAATGTCATTAAACACAAAATAGTTGCCTTATGTTCTAAAAAGAAATGTCTTCTACTATATAGATGTTTCACTGATTTACTGTTTTTATTTTTTCAAAAATTTTTTCTTTCTTTGTTTATATATAGTTTCATCTGCACCCTGTTATCTGTGAAACCAAGGACCATGCCTCATTTTCATTTTCACGCAGAGCCTTGGATATAGTAGGCATTTAGTAAATGTTTGTTGAATAAAATCCTAGTGTTTTTGACCAGTGACAAGGTGCAAGGTCTATGCATTTCATTTAACTGTTACGAGAATGGATTCTTTATGTGAAAAAAACAAAATTTTTAAAAACAATTAATTGAGAGCAGTGAATTTTGAATGGGAGTTCTGGAACATTTGGATGTCTCAGTGGCAGCTGTGGAGGGTGATGGAAAAGGCCAATTAACAGAGCTTGAAACTTCCCACCCAAATTCCCACCCAGAGCAACTCTAATTTGTTCTATTTCATCTATTTGTTGATAGCATTTTATTCGAAACATAGGATACATTTTAAAATTACACACCCATTATCATTGTAAACTACTGAAACTGACGATTTTATCATTCCCTGTGACCTCTAAAGTGTTCTGATTCAATACCTGGTTTCCATTTGAGCAATAAATAGAGCTAAAAATACTGTGTTTGTTGATATTAGATTAAGGTTTATTAATCCGGAGTGTCTATAAATTTGCTCAGGGAAAACCTGTTCTATTTTTACTGAACTCTAATTGAAATTCAGTACATCTTGTGCTGTCTTAGAAATTACAGATGTTTTTATATGACACTGCATTTATTAAAAATATCTCAAATTAACGTTTATGGCCATCACTAACACTTATGGTTATCACTACACTTATGGTATTATTAGACATACTTGGATCTTGATATTTACTCCCTTAATAAAGAAGCATATATATTACCTTCTCACAAATTTGTTTTTAAAAATATTTTGATAAATATATTTTAATATGATTAATTTCCTTGTAATCCTTTTTTTTAAAAAAATTGTACCTTTAAAAATATTCTAAGGAGAAAGGGCTATGGAGAAAGAGACTGACGGCACAATGAAATACCAAAAATCCTCTCCTTCAGATGGTGACACAGCTGGTGATTGTTATTTTGGGGAAAGCAGGTAGATGACCACAGATGCTTTCTACACCTGCAAGCAATAGACCTCAGCTGCTGTACCTGTTTGGCAAAGATGAGCGCCGTTCACCCTGTGTCTTACACTCAGGTTCTGGGCATTACTGCACTCTAGAAAGTCATAACTGTATCACCTCCCTTGAACAGGAAATTGTGTTTTGGTATCCTTTTTCTTTGTTTCATCAGTTCATTTTTCTTGTGGTAGCCCTACATAAATTCAGCATTTAGACACTTTACTAAGTTGTTTTTCACCTGCTCAAGATCCCTTCACATACTTCTTCTACCATGATTTTCTTTGCTGATGCACCCCTCTCCCACCATCAGTTCCTGTGGTTTGAATAGGACCAATTCCACCAACATCTATGATGCTGGGCACCAGGCAGGATCAGTTGACAGGCACGGGGTATGTCTAGAACTGATGTGACTCAATTCTGGAATTTTAATAGGAAAAGAGTCACCCTTCCCACCCTGGTCCTAAGAGAGAAGAATGCATGTCAAGGGTTTGACAGCCATCTTCCCACCGAGGGGAGAGAAGCTGCCTGAGAATGGAGCTGACACAAAAGAAAGCAGCTAAGAGACAGGGGGGGAAAAACCCTCAAGGCCTGAAGACAAGGTTTAAAACATGCCTGAAATCCGTTCTACCCCTGGACTCTTCAACTATGGGAGCCTGTTGGAGGAGGTCATCGAGAGGATGTGACCGCTGGTTAACCCGAGACCTGGATCCAGGAAACTGAAGGCCCCTTGCCCCATCCCCTGTCCTTGGAATGTATGTTCTGTCCACTATTCCTACAGTGGGAGCCATTTCAAGGATGCAGCCTTGAGAGAGCAAAGTGTTGTTGAGACTATCTGGATGGTATACCTGACTGAACCCAGTTTAGGTCTCTGTGTAAACTTCTAAGATTCTGGCAGGTGCATGGGGAGACCTACTCATCACGTGGGCCGCCCAAGACAAGCTTCATCATAGGTAAGTTCCTTTGCTTATTACACCTGCCACCTACCAATCTGCAGTGTCTGCCTCTTTCTTTGGTCTCTCCTTGCCCTCTCTATACAGGGGCCAGTTTGCAAACGAACAGAGCCACTGAAGTTCTCTGTAGCTTAAGCCATTTTTAGTTGGCTTATATCAAAAAGAACAATTATCTTGATAAAGTTTATAACACAAGTTTACTGACTCAGTGCCTTTAAACGGAAATAATTGATTGATTTTTATGACATTATAATTCTTTTGTTAAATAAGTCAGTGGGTGTAATATAACTGACATTTGTTGATTTCTGTGCTATAAACCCCATATACATACTTAATATTTATAGCAACCATGGATACAATCAGCCCATTTTACAGAGGAGTAAATATAAATAATCTCCAACATAAAGTCATTTGCCTAGTATTAAAATTTCGGTTTGTTGGACTACAGAGTCTGTGTTTTTTCCATTATGCATTCAGAAAACAAAATATAACTTCTCTTCTAGTGTAAAATAAACATGGACAATTGCAATCAACACTTTCATTGTGTAACTGCACACACAAATGCTCTTCCCTCGTCTCGAGATTGTCGGTTATCTACATATATCTTCTCCTAATTTCTTGCCAAAGCAGCATTTTATATTTCCTAAGCATTCATTACAGAAAGGTCTCAGGTGTTTTAAAAATGGAAGCCGCACAATGCCACAAGGGAGATGATGTGCTCTTGCTTCTTTTGAGGAAGAGCAAAATCAAAGACGAGATAAATGATGCCTGTCTGGTCCATTCAAGCTACTATAACAAAATACTGCAGACTGGGTGGCTTATAAACAACAGATATTTATTTCTGACAATTCTGGTGACTGGAAGTCCAACATCAAGGAACCAGCATGCTCACGTTCCCCGGAGGGCCCCTTTCCGGGTTCATAGCTGGCGCCTTCTCACTGTGTCCTCACAAGGTGCAAGGAGCAAGAGATCTCTCTGGAGCCTCTTTATTTATTTATTTTTTTTCAGGAAGATCAGCCATGAGCTAACATCCATGCCAATCCTCCTCTTTTTGCTGAGGAAGACCAGCCCTAAGTTAACATCTATTGCCTTTCCTCCTCCATTTGTTTCCCTTTTTCTCCCCAAAGCCCCAGTAGATAGTTGTAAGTCATAGTTGCACATTCTTCTAGTTGCTGTATGTGGGACGCTGCCTCAGCATGGCCAGACAAGTGGTGCAGTGGTGCGCATCCAGGACCAGAACCCCCACCAGTAGCGGAGCGCGCGCACTTAACAGCTAAGCCATGGGACCGGCCCCCTGGAGACTCTTTTTTAAGGCACTGTTCCCGTTCATGAGGGTTCCACTTCTCACAATTTAAGCACCTCCAAAAGGCTCAATACCATCACCTTTGGGTGTTAGGATTTCAACATATGAATTTTGGAGGGACACAAATATTCAGACCATAGCAATGCCTCTCATGGAAGCTAGGAGAAAAATCGTTGTCAGGTGATGAACACAAGTGGATGATTACCTTTCCAGTGGAGCAGGGAATTTGCATCTCCGTGAGGAGTCAGTCATTTCTTACACTGTCACTGTATTTGGAGGGTTTGAGGAACTGTAGCTGAGACAGCACAACTTCAAGCATCCTGGGTTTGTGGTACATGTGGAGGACACTTCTTGTTTGGGAAGATGAAGTACATACACCAGTTTGATTCTGGTGGAACTTGAATTCCCTGTACATTTTCCTGGGCTGCTTATGCCTTTTCTCCTTTTCTGTGTCCTCAAATGACGTAAAACTGCCTTAATGAAGCTAATTAATTAAGTGGAGACTGAGCATGCTCAAGTGTCTAGGAAAATGGGGGTTATAGTTGGGAGGTTTTTACCCAGTTTAGTATTCTAGTTGAAGGAAAAAAAACCTCTCATGAATGTGCAGAGTATGTGTTATTTCTCTTAGCATCTGGCTTGTGGGCTTTCTTGGAAGCATAATATCAGAGATCAGCACACTCAGAAGAAAATAATTGAATGTGGACATAATTAGGATAGTTCACAGCGCAGGAGAGATTGGTGAGGAAATGGTGACATAGCAAGCTGACTTGAGTCAGTGATGCTTTTAGGAAGCGAGAGCAGAAGCTGAAGACTTGTTCTGCACAGTGACTGTTAGCAAGGTGGTTGAAGTAAAGACATCTGCCTTCCTTCCAGGTGCACAGCCCCAACTTGTCCAGCATGATAGTCTTCATCTTCCTTGGTAAGTGACTTATGCTTCTGGTTTATCTGAATTCATTACTCCAATTCTTTGTAAACCAAATGCTAGCCCATCTAACTGAACTGTTGATTCAACTAACAGGGGCTTATAATATAAAGTACCAATTACAAATTTATACTTTAACATAGTTTATTACTTTTTCAAAAGTGTACACTTACTTCTACTCATTTATAACTCACTAGAAAATGCACAATGAGATAATTACGTTGATCACTCAGGTTGCTTCTGTTTTATTGTATAGAATAACCCAGTTACTTTGAGTTATTTATTAGGATTTATGGAACTCACATATATACTAGAGCCTTTTAGAAATGAAACCTTCCAGTATCTATTTACAAGTTATAAGATGACAAATTTCAAATTATCTATTTTTCTTTGAAATTAAATTTAAATGAAATTAATTTAAGCCATTCAGTTCCCCAATTTTAAGGTGTTAATATTTACTAAGCAGGAGTCATTTAATAGAGCAAAACAATACCGCATCAAATGCTTCATATTTCAGTCAGTTGTTGTGACCTAGAGAGAAAGTATGGACTTATCCCTCTTGTTTTGGGTAATATGAAAGTATTGTAAGATGTTGGTGAAAAAGAATTTATTGATACTTCAAGTAGAATCCATGAATATCTACTTGCTATATGTGTTATTGAAAAAGCTATTATATTTTCTCTGGCATTTAGTAGGATCTGTAAATTGAATTCAGGAAAAGGGATAGTTATGATCGTAGCTGTATGTTAATAATCCACTCATTAAAACGAAGCCAGTATATTTTATGCTTGCTCTACACTAATAGATATTGATGAATAAAGGCATAACAGTGGGCAAGAAAACAAAGAAGCTTATTTCAAATTATGTCGAACACAAAAGGAAATCAAAATAAATCTAATCAGAGAAAATTAAGACAAGAAGGAAAGGGGTCTTTTATATGCTTTCAGTTTTCCTTTGGTTTAAATAACAGCTATTGTGTTCCAAAATTTTGCTCCTTGTATTTATTTTTAATAATATTTCCTTATTTCTATTCTTTATTATAAAGAAAAATCTGGGAGACTTTGATTTATGTAGATCAGGCAGCAATATAACAGAACACACAAAATATATTACAATGTCATTATGGCCCCGGTCAAAAACCCAATGATGGCCTCTAGTTTTCATCTTTCACTTCTAAATTAACCTTGACACTAGGTTGCATGAAGGAGGGAAATCATTTCTAATATTGTTAGAGTACAAATTGTGCTGTTTCATGGGTTGAACCAACATTTCCGATAGTGCGTTCCTCAGAATGCTCGTTCAACATCATCTAAATAGGTCTTGTAATGTAGGAAAGTTCTGTAGCCAAAGAAATGTGGGACATAGTGAATTTTTAAAACAGAACATTTAATATCCTAATGAGTCTTATACATCTTTAAAAGGGTGATGTGCAATATTCTCCATCTTATTTATTTTAAAATAGAACCTGTTTTTCACTGAGCATTTCAAGAAAATCCTTGAAAATTCCTGAGTTAAATACATGGCCACAAATCGTAGTCAGGAATGAATAAAATTTTAGAAAGCTAAAGTTATTTTGATTCTTATGGGCCAAATCATTGAGATGGTTTTTCTAGCTGATTCAGCATTTTATCTGAGTGGATGATGTGGAAAATCATGTAAAATCAAGGGATTATTCAACCTAAAATTTTAAATATGAAAGAAAATGAAACCAATTTGGGAAAGATAATATGTAAATGATTGCTACACTGAGGTACCAGTGAGGTTTTGATAATATGTACAGGAGACCATCACCTATAAGTTTCTTGAGGGAACTATTCATAAGATACAATGATTAATGGAAAATAAAATTACAGTTTCTTATAAGCTAAGTTTCTGACATAAAATCCCTACTTCAGGGTCTTTGGCAAGCTGGATCCAAACAAATAAACATGGGCCAGAGTTAAAGCGGCTCTCTTTCTCTTTCTCTGGGCTTGCCAACCTAGGGCAAAGAGCTTGGCTAGATGAGTTTGTCCATGAACGCATGAAAAAACAGAAAGCTGATGTGTCAATTTCCACTCCAGCCCTCAGCAAGAAAAATGTGACCAGCCACACCCAAGGGCCTAATCTCCAAATGCAGTGACCCAGCAAGTAGTACATATGATCCAATCAGTTGTCTTGGATTCTCCTTAGAAGAGGTTTGGAAAGAGGTAAGATAAAGAAAAGATTTCAAGGCTTTACTTGAAGCCTATAACTCTATACTGTAACAGGTGATTCGTAATTAGCATCATCTTTTTAAAAATTCAAATGACTTGGTTCTGCTTAAGACATAGCTTGAGGTCTCTTGATTATAGTTACTATGTTGTCTCTATAACTCAATTGTAGTTCCCATATTTTTCTATGGCTTAAGCAAGTGTCAGTTTGCATGCTTGCAGAATCAACTTGAGTCATTTGTGCAGTATGCTAAATTAACATTGCTGCTTTCTTGATATTTTTAGAAAATGTGTTGAAACCTTTTCTCTTCTACCCAAAATAACTTGTAAATATCTGGAAGGTGTTATTTTTTTCGAGTATTATCAGTTAATGTATAACTTATCTATAAACAAATATTCAAGTTGGTGTAAGTCAACATACATTTATTGAATATCTATAATGCATCATTGTGTTTGATGATGGGGATACAATTTTGAGTTACCCCTAATGGCTGCTCAGTAAAACCCTAGAACCCAGCGGTAGAGACAAGCACATAAATACACACTTTCATTACAGAACAGTAAATGCTGTAGTTGGGGGAATTCCTAAGATTGTAGTGAAACAGATGAGGGGTGTTAAGTTCAATTGAGATGTAGGAAAAGGGAGTATTGAATTCAGGGAAGGTTTCCATAAAATAGGTCATTATTTTGTTGAGTCTTAAAGGACAAAAAAGGGTTATTCCAGAGGAAAGAGAAAAGGAGTGCCTACTCGTGACCATACAGTAAATGCTCAGAGGTACAGACAGCATGGAGCATTTGGGAAACTACAAGTTCTTGAGGATCTCTAGATTGCACATGATGAGGAATATGAGAATCGGGCTTTGAGGAACCATCCAAAGGATGAAGCAGAGAAATGACAGGACTAGAATGGTGTATTAGGCAGATTAGGGAATGTAAAGAACCCATCTGAATGAGAGGAAACTGACTAACTAACTATGCAAGAATGGTTATGAGAGGATGGAAAAGGAGTCTATCATGAATCGAAGTTCAGGTGCCTATGTGATTGGTGGAATTGCTGATGAATAGGGTGGTCAACCAGGGGGTGGTTATAATGAGGACAATATTAAAGATATTATAGTCTAGAACTGTGTCTAGAACATTTAGGTGGCAATAACAGTTAGCATCTATAACTAGAATAATGGAAAATAATGGTATTAAATTATACGTTTGAGAATCATCAGTCTAGAGATTTGAGTTAAAACCATGAGAGTACATGGATTCTGGGAAGGATCTATGATCAGAAAGTAGCAAGTGGATAAGCATCAGGAAAACTAGAAGAGAGGGTTGCCAAAGGAAGAGAGTTTCAAGAACAAAATGAAAACAAAATGCCCAATGATAAAAGTAGGCATGACGAAGTCCTAAAACTGGTAAATTTGATGTTACAGAGAAGATTAGGACATCTCTAAGAGCAGTTTCAATGGAGCAATAGTCATAAAAGTAAATCGTAAGTTGAGGGATGAATAGGCAGTGAAAAAGAGAGAGAGAAAATATAGACTCTTCATTTCAGAATCTTTCACAGGAGAAAGATAGATTTATATCTAGAGGGTTGGTTAAGATCCTTTCCAGTTTTATAGTAATTTTATCACATTTTGTTTTCCATAATTCTGCTCCTTACCATGAATAACTTAGATTCTAGACAAATAACTGCCATACTGTAATATTGCAAACTTGTTGTTTTTGTTATTCTGTTACTGTTGTTATTCAAGCTTTGGGGCTGTGCTTGGAAAAAGAATCCACTTCCCAAACCATTGATTGCACATATTTAAGAGAGCAATGCCTAAGTGATGCAAATGGATGTAAACATGCGTGGAGAATAATGGAAGATGCCTGCAATGTTTCAGGTAACACAAGGTGTTTAAAGTATACTCAAATGATTTCTTTTTATTGAGTTAAAAATAGGATTTGATATTTTCTTTCACTATCCTACGAGCTAAGATTGTTTTTTGTGTGTGTGTGAGGAAGACTAGCCCTGAGCTAACATCCATTGAGAATCCTCCTCTTTTTTCTGAGGAAGATTGGCCCTGGGCTAACATCTGTGTCCATCTTCCTCTATTTTATGTGAGACGTCGCCACAGCATGGCTTGACAAGCAGTGAGGAGATCAGTGTCCGGGATCCGAAACTGAGAACCCCGGGCCGCCAAAGCAGAGCGCGGGAACGCAACCACTACGCCACCAGGCCGGCCCCAAGATTGTTTTGCTCTAAATACCCCACTCAGATTTGATATTCAAGGGATTCACCTTTAATCACTTATTAGTGAATTTAGTTACAAAAGGGTATTTTTAGTTACTCAAGGGCTCTGACGCATTGACACTGTGGGCAGTTTTATGCAAGATTTCAGATTATTTGTTTACTTATCTCACTGTGTATAATGCTACAGTTATTTACATGCTTCTCAGAAGCATGGCAACAATTTTTCAAATAAATTATTCTTTTGCTTATATGTTAATATGTCAATAACAAAATAGAAAAATATAATATTTGTGATGATCAAAGGCATTGTTATTTATTTGTTATTTTATTTGTATGTGTATAATATACATTTTATATTCCTGCAACATATACATTATTTTCCATTCCAACTGTGTCAAGAACAAGTTAAAAACATACTTTTATTTTTAACTTGTCCTATGTTCCAAACATTTGAGGGGAGGCCCATGGGGTAGAGAGTGTGAAGATTGGAGAGTCACTGTCACTTGCTTAAAAAGAAAAAAAATATATGTCCGGAATATATCAAATAGCTAAAGAAATATTAAATGAGAACAGTATATAGTAAGACCTCTTTCACTAAGAGTAGATAAACTGATTATTTAATAGGATATTGTCCTAACACTATCGTGACAAAACTTTTCAAAAAATGATATTCTGACATAATGATGTTTTGTCATCTTTTATTATAAATATTATAATACTATAAAAACCTGATAACTTTTCTGGAAGTTTCAGTAAGAGAAATCCAAAAATAAAAATATGTTCTTCCATGACTTTGTTTCTCCACCCACTTCAGGGAGAGTAAATTCTGTACTGCTCACGTCCTGGCCCCTCTGCACATGCTGCTTCTACCTCCCAAAAGATGCAAAGTGGAGTGTGTTGGGTTAAAAGGCAGCAACCTATAGTTCTGACGATGCCAACGTTCACAAATTCCACCATCAGGGCTCCTGCCCAACCACATGATCTCGAGGAATGACATAGGACAGAGAGAAGAAGGGAGTGAGATTTCTTCTCTTCCCTGCCCTTGAGGGAGTACACGGAATGTTCATACTCTGAAGAAAGTTATAGCTCTCTAATCCAACATTCCTATCACTGTCCAGGAAAAGAATTTCAAAGGCATAATTTACTCAAAGTAACACAATAATTTTAAGCTGAGAAGAGGGGACAATGACCAAAAAAAATATTTTATTTGTTTTCATGATGAAGCTCCTTGTTACATTATAGAGGGCAATTTAAAATGTGTTGCTAAAATATTTCATTCAGTGTGTCATGAATTATAACACGTTTATATCAGTATGCAAATAGCAAGTCATTTGTAGTGAATTGCAATAATATTTGCATAATTATCTCATGCGTGAAGCTGAAATAGAAATATTCTCAAATACACAAATGAAATGAACTCAAGTAGTTTTATTCAGAAAAATGAATAAAAGAAAATGGTTGGGTAGATGAATACGGCTTTTTAAACTAAAGGAGAAGATGAAATATTGGTAATTATGAAGGACTCGTTATTCAATAATATTTACTGCGTGCTTTCTAAGTGTCAGGACCACTTCATTTCCCGTGATAAATTTAGAGCACCTGCATGTGTCTTATTATAATGTTAGAAGAATATGTAAAATAAAGTGCAGATTAGGACAAAACGGCTAATAAAATAGCTACACTGACAAAAAGGCTAATGTTACAGAGCATTCTTGTCACCTCGTTCGTATAAGGGAAGCCTTGTTTATTATTGAAGAGCAAAAATTGGCATTCAGGTGGGGACAAAGCTACTTTAAAACACAGAAAGTTTTAGTCTATTTTAGAAAGTAAATATTGAGGGAAAAGACAGTAAAAATAGATTTTTTTGCTTAAAAAGTCACTTACATGGCATCCTGCGGCAACCCCAAATAATCTTGCTATAATAAAGAATTACTCAGATTAATGTGTTAAAAGCATTTTGGGTAGGGGGATTCAAAAATTATATTCAGATTAAAATCTGAAGTGCTACATGTTTGTGAAATCTAGGTAACCCCTGCAAGATGAAGGATTCATCAAGTTGCAACCTGAGGATCCAGTCCTTTGTGGAGAGCAATTTCCAATTTAAAGATTGTCTCTGCATTGATGACCTCTATTGTACTGTTAACAAATTACTTGGAAAAAAATGCAGCAATGAATCAGGTAATACACTGTCATATGGAATATTTACAGTCATGAAAAAGAAAAGTACAATTTCAAAATAAACCACATCTATGTAATTTGGTATAACTCTCTGATAATGTGAATAATTCTTCATGTAATTTAAGGTTCTGTGGGCTGTAGATCTCAGTAAGTGCATAATGTAGTTCTGTAATTGCTAACCACAATTTCAAGCTTCATTCTATTATAATCCATTAGAATTATAGATTCATTCATTCAATATTTATATTTGTGGGGCTTACTATGACTTTGCTCAAGACCTCGATGACAGAAGACAAATAAGGTATCATTTCTGTTGTTGAAGATCTCAGAGTCTCCTGAGAAAGACGGAAATATAGCCATTTACCTAGAATTATAATTGCCTTTGGACAGGAGCATTTAATCATTTAATACACATTTATTTACTGCCTACTCAAGGTGCCAGGCTAATGCTGAAGTAGTGGTAATCAAACTAGTCTGCATGTGCCTTGAGGGTATATAAAGATTTTCCAGGGGATCTGTGGGATCAAATAGTTCTAAAGTGATCAATTTCCAGACCCTTAATGTCCCTGTGTACTCTCTGAAAAGTGGTCAGGTTGGGAATGCACCTGTTATCATAGAGTTCTCACCTCTCCTTTCACAATCAACCTTCTCCCACTTTATAAGGGTTAGATTTACCTCTCATCTATCTTGAACGGTCCCATTGTTGAACCTCTCTAATCTTTCATGGTGAGCTCACTGGACAATTTTCTGTTCCATAAGTTTGTTTTTTCCAAAATTTCATATAAGTGGAATTACATAACGTGGCCTTTTGACTCTGATTTCTTTTACTTAACGTAACGCATTTGAGATTCATCATTTTATGTACAAGTTTATTCCCTTTTTTGTGTGTGTGAGGAAGATCAGCCCTGAGCTAACATCTATTGCAAATCCTCCTCCTTTTTTTATTTTCCCCTTTTTCTCCCCAAAGCCCTAGTAGATAGTTGTATGTCATAGTTGAACATCCTTCTAGTTGCTGTATGTGGGACGCGGCCTCAGCATGGCCGGACAAACGGTACGTCGGTGCACGCCCAGGATTCGAACCTGGGCTGCCAGCAGCGGAGCACGCACACTCAACAGCTAAGCCACGGGGCCGGCCCCTGTTCTCTTTTTTTGAGGAGTAGTATTCCATCATATGGTTATACCACAGACTGGCTATCCATTCACCATTGAAAGTCATTTGCCTTGTTTCATAGTTTTTAGAGATTATAAATAAAGCTGCTATAAATATTCACATACAAGATTTACACAAATATAAGTTTTTATTTTTCTTGGGTAAGAAATTGTTGGGTCATATGGTAAAATGTATGTTTAACTTTATAAAAAGCTTTCATACTATATTTGAAATTCGATGTAACCATCAATGTATGAAAGTTCTGGGTTGCTGCACATTCTCAGCAGCACTTGATTTTTTTTTTTTTTTTTTTTTGCCATTCTAATACATATTTAGTGACATCACACTGTGGTTTTAATTTGCACTAAAATAATAATAATGCTGAGCATATTTTCATGTGCTTATGGGTCGTCTCTTTATATTACTTGGTAAAGTGTCCCTTCAAAATTTTCCCCATTTTTAAGTTGAATTTTGGCTTTTATATTGAGTTTTAAGAGTTGTTTCTGTATATTGCATAGGATTTATCAGAATATATGGTTTGTAAACTATATTTCCCTGTCTGTGTCTTTTATTTCCTTAAGAGTGTCTTTCAGAAAACAGAAGTTGTTTTTTAACTTTAATGAAGTCCAGTTTATCATGATTATTTTTTCTACGGATCATACTTTTGATGTTGCATCCAAGAAATCTTTACCCAACCCAAATTCACAAAGATTTTCTCATATGGTCTAGAAATTATGTAGTTTAGGTTTTATATTTAGGTCTTTGATACATTTTGAGTTAATTTTTGTATATAGCACAAGCTGTGGGTCAGATTTGATTTTTTTCCATATGCATATCCAATTGTTCCACCACATTTGCTGAAGAGACTATCAGTTTCACCTTTCTCAAAAATCATTTGGCTATATGTTAGTGGCTCTATTTCTAGACTTCCTTTTCTCTCCAATGATTTATATTTCTCTACTTTTGCCAATACTCTACAGTCTTAATGTAGCTTTATGGGACATCTTGAAATCACGTAGTGTAATTCTTTTAACCTTATTCTTTGTAAAACTTGTTTTAGCTATTCTTCTTTGCCTTTCCATATAAATTTTACAATCAGCTTGTCACTGTCTGCAAAAAATCCTGCTAGCATTTTGATTTGGCTTATTTTTTTTTTTTTGTTTATTGCAGTAACATTGGTTTATAACATTGTACTTCTATTTCTGCATGGACTACATCATGTTCACCACCAAAATACTAATTACAACCCATCACCACACACATGTACCGAATTATCCCTTTCACCCTCCTCCCTCCCCCCTTCCCCTCTGGTAACCACCAATCCAATCTCTGTCCCTATGTGTTTGTTTATTGTTGTTATTAT